TAATAAATTGGCAACTCCAAGAAAGTAGCTAAGCTGTTGGCTCGCTATACGGCGTACAATCCGGAAAGTATAAAGGGTTTTGTAATAACTATTTACTAATTTTCATTTTTTATTTGATCCAATGTTAATATGCTGCATTGGACACATGAAATGAAAAGACTTACAGTATTTAAAATATCAAAATGATCAGCAACACAAATATAAAGATAAATATGAAATATTAATCAAATTACATTCAACAGAAACTTTAACTATATTTTGAGTAACAGGATTTGATCACATGACATTTCATAGGTAAAATGATTAATAAATTAATCAAGAAAATAACTGGCAGAATAGTAGGTAATTTCAATACTTTGAAGCACTAATTTAACAAAGCTGTTTTATCTACTAACAGAAGAAAGTGGAAAGAGACACATTTACATGTATTTTACCTTTAACAAAACAGTAAAGACAAAAAACACCAGGATGGAGACTTTTCTTAAGCGTATAATGTTAAACCACCAGGATGCCCCCAAAAACTGAACTCTCTTTTACTTCAGGGTGAAGTTTTATCTTGATAAAGGGATTTTTATTTTTTCTTTCCCTCCCTGATCCCCCAAAGTAGCTTGACTTTACACCTACCGCTGCACCAGCTCCTCAGCTGCAGCTTTAATCTAACACCATTAAATCCCCAGTAAAGGGATGTAGGAAGGGTCCTCAAAACCACCATATTTCCCACATCTACATTTAAATGCAGTTTTAATTAAAAACAGGCCTCCAGAGGCTTTCCACCAGCTGAGATGATATTACGCAGGATGTGAATCACGCCGTTCTGCCGAGCAGTATTGTTCTGAACAACGCCTATCAGTGGCGGTTAATTTGACAGAAGGGTGACTGCAGGACGTCTGTGTTTCCACGGATGTATGTTTATTGTGTACTTTACAGGTTGTCTTTTAATACAACCCTGATTTAATGAATAAAGGAGCCGTTCGGTTCTGTTTGCACTCTTCTGTGCGTCACGTCAAGGTTCTAACGCTCTCCATAATACCGCTGCTATCAATGCAGTGATAAACAATAAGTGTTTCTGGAGCTGTGGCTGCCACAGAGGACCCTCAGGGCCTCGGTGGTGTGTTTCTGGGAATTTAGCACCAGTGGAGGATTTCATACTTCAAGCGGTTTATTTTATGCCAACGAAATACTTTCTTTTTTTTTTCTTCATGATGCTTCAGTTCCCTTAGAGTAGCATTGTAGTATATTTGTTTTTGAAACGCTGGATATTATAGTAGTTTTATAGCCTTTTTGTGCACGTAAAATGAAAAATTTCAGGGAGCTCCGCAGCGCTAACACCTTCCTGTTGGGTGAAACGATTATTTGAAATATTATTGGTATTGCCACGTAGACCAGTACAGTGTAGAGGAGCTGCAGGTTTTTTGTTGAAGGTAAAATGTGTCCCAAAATACTAAATCATTGTGGTGGAACTTACAAATCATGTTCTCCTGATGTAAGAGAATGTGCTTACTTGACTGCAGCAAATTAACAGTCGTTTTAAGGTTTTTTTGACGAACTAAAACCGTGACACATTGTGATATCGTTCCAAATGATGTGCTCTGTAACCCAAAGCTAGTGTATATGTAATCTATAGCTATATAAGACTCAAAGAAATGAGACACCGAAGACATGAGCATAAATTGTAGAAATTAACAAGTTTAGAAATGGTATTAATTTTCTAATTAGTTTTGTTGCTTGCAGGTTTCTCCAGCTTCTGTGATGTAAAATTAATGATCGGTTTGAGTATTGAATGGGATGAGCTCGCTCTGGGATTGATGAGAGCTTTAAAACATTTACTATACGGCTCAGGGCTCCACCTTTAGTGAGCTTTAAAAGGCATTTGCGACTCTGTGTCATTAACACTTGATTGCTGTGACGGTCCGTCCAGGAGCTTCGGCCCGTTTTCCGGCTGCTCGTTAACAGAAGTGCAAGCTCGAACCGAACGTCGCTCGGCTTCTGGCCGCCGCTCAAGATCAGGAACCTGTTTTAAAAATTGTGCTGATCCTTCACAAAGCTCTTCCTGGTCCGGCCCAGGAGTACATTTCTGAAATGCTGATTCCTCTCAACTCTGAGATCACACAGGTCCTCAAACTAATGACTGCTGATGATCACAGATTAGATCACACATGTGGTCAGGCCAACTTTAACCCGAGGAGAAGCTTCTCATATTCTCCAGTCTTATGAAGACGTTTCCGTAGCTTTTCGGCGGTTGTTTACTCGGCTTTGTTTTCCACCTGCAGCTTATTTTTTTTTGGCTTTTATTTCCTCTCCTTAAGTCTTATCTTTTTTTCCAAAATACATTAAAGGATAAATTCAAAGACGTCTTTCCTGAAACCGTAATCAGGTGCCGGCATGAAGAGTAAAACACCTTTTGTGCTTGTTGTAATTGTTCCTCCTTTTCATGCTGAATGTTCAACGTCTTAATGCGCTTTTAATGTAAGCGACAGAAGACAAAAAGGTAGCGTCTTCGTTTTGTTTGAAGTCAGACAAAGCCAGTGGAAACTTTCCAAAGCGCGTGTTTAGGACAAAACTCCCTCTTTGTCTTCCTCTAGACGCAGTGCGGGTTTATTAGCAACACATTGTATTGAAAAGTCATTAATTTTGGAAGATATCCACTTAGTTTGTTTAAATTGGCCGGCTGCAGCCTCGTATTATCTGCAGAGGGAAAAAAAACATTTGAATGCATTCTTAGAAGGAGAAAAACTATCCTTGAAGGTTGTAGTCATTTTAAGAACTGCTCTTTAAATATTTCAGCTTCCCTTTATTGCTTCTCCTCCTTTTAGCATCCTAAAAACACACATACAGAGTTCAGATTCAGATTCAGATTTGTTTTATTGTCATTGTAACAAGTACAACGAAACGTAAGGTGCAGTCCTTTCAGTGCAAAAATATAAATATAAGAACTTGTAGAACAATAATATAAAGGAAATGTATATATAAAAACAAGCAAAAAGAAATGAACTCTGTATACAAGATGAAATTAAATAATGAGCACGGTGTATTATTTCACAGAGTGGATACTGGGCAGAGGTAGTGGAGTTGTATATTGCACATTATTTTGACTGGGAGGCATTTATTGTTCTAACAGCAGTAGGAAAAAAGCTGTTTTTTAGTCTGTTAGTCCTGGTTCTGATGGCCCTGTACCGTCTGCCTGACGGCAGAAGCTCAAACAGAAAATGTCCCGGGTGGTAGGAGTCCTTCAGGATGGTGTTGGCTCTCCTGAGGCAGAAACAGCCATGAAGGTCCTCCAGTGTGGGCAGAGGGCATCCAATGACCTTCTCAGCCATTTTGGTGACCCTCTGTAGCGCTCTTCTGTTTGCCACTGTGCAGCTGGCAAACCACGTACAGAGGCAGTATGTGAGGATGCTCTCCATGGTGGAGCGGTAAAAAGACACAAGCAGTCTCTGGCTGATGTTGTTCTTCCTGAGGATGTCTCAGGAAGTGGTGCCTTTTTCGTGCCGTCTTTACCAGCTGTGTGGTGTTCTTATTCCAGGTCAGTTTCTCCTCAATGTGAACTCCCAGGAAGCGGAAGTCACTGACCCTTTCCACACAGGCCCCACCAATGAGAATGGGCTGAATGTCAGTTGTAGTGTAGCTAAAGAAAAGTACAGATTCTGTATGTTTCCAACTACTCCACAACATTAAATATTAGGCAGGAGGTGTTAATGTCATAATACAAAATGGCGAGATTAATTAATTTACTCTGTGCGGCTGCAGGTCTAATGATTTGTTAGGAGTTGAGCTAAACTAAACCAGAGTGTTTGCGTTTTTTTTCTTTGTTGAAATTGCAGGATAACTTTCCGTTTTCTCTCCTCTCAGTCTGCGGCAGTGGGACAGAAACTTCCACCGTCCACGTTCCACTTCACCCACACCCAGTGCATCCTCTACGCGTTGGGCGTCGGCATGTCCACCAAGGACCCGGACCATCTTCGGTGAGTTTGCGACTGTAGCTTCCCCCCAATTTGTGTGAGATTAAACTGGAAAACATGGATAATCACCACTTCAGTCACTACTTTTACTTTGACCTGCTTAAGAGGAAAAAAAAAACACTGGAATGCGTCCACGCTGACACACGCCTGTGCCGCCATCTGTGCAGTTATTTTTGTTTGTCTTTATCTGTAAACTGCTCCTACAAAAGCTTTTTTTTTTCCCTACTTCACTCACACTTAGGTTCCTGTACGAAGGCTCTGAGGACTTCAGCTGCCTCCCCACCTTCGGGGTCATTGTTTCCCAGGCGTCCATGATGGACGGCAGCCTGGGCTCGGTGCCTGGACTCGACATAGATTTAACACGGGTGAGAAAACACGCACGTGAACGGACAAAGTGTCTCCGTGTGCGATCCTGTTTACATGCGTTTGAGCTTCTTGTACATATGTCGTATGCATATTCGTATCCATATGGTACGTTTCACAGTAGCAGGACACACATTACTCATGCTAATGAGGCTTCAGGACTTTGGTTTGATTTGACATCGCAGCTGTTGGAATGTTGTTTTTCCATCAGGTATTGCACGGAGAGCAGTATCTGGAGCTTTACAAACCTCTGCCAACCTCAGGTAAGTCCTCACTGATTATAGAGTTTAAGTTCTTATTATAGACTTTACATTAAAATACCTGCATTGGAAGCTATTTTAGAGCCGCACTGAGTCACTTCACCTGTATTCATGTCATTTAAGCGGGACCAGTCTGAGTTTAATAGTTAATTTAGTCTAAAACTGATGACCTTTGCACGTCTTTATAGGCCCGTTTTTATGATTCATCTCCTGATATAAACTATAAAATGGCTCTTTTTATCTCTTAATACATTTTTAACTGTATACGTCCTATAACGGCGTATCCATACCGAGGTTATGTCTACATGCGTCTCAACCCAGCCTGCGCTTCATCTGTTGCCGTTGCATTCAAGTCACAGAGCCGGGTTTTTGTTTTTCTAAAAGATAAATCCCTGACAATCCATCAGCAAGCCAGAAGGTCGTTTAACAACAGTCGCTGCTGTTTTTTGAAGATATTTCAGGGATCCTCAAAGACTCCAGAAGCCGTGGGTATATTGTTTAGCGCATTGTGGGGAGAAAAAAAAAAGATTTTTAACCTTTTGTGACTCTGCTTGAAATTTATGAACAGAGATTTAAAAGCAGAGATGGTAGCCTTTGTTAGAGGTGTACAGGGTGAAGAAAATTGAAAAAAAGTTATTTCCCACTTGAGGATTGTTTCCTGTTTGACTGAAAATGTGAAGAATTCGAATCAACCATCAGATTTTTGGCACTTTTTCTTGAAAAACGACTAAAGCAGTCAAACGGTTGTAGATTAATTTTCTGATTGATTAATTAAGATCTGGCACAAATAAAGTGAAGAGACATGCCACCAGCCTTTGAGGAATGTGGAAGTACTTCACTGTTGAATGACATTTTCCAAACAGTCAAGGATGCTTTGTGAATGTAATATCATGAATTACACAACGATTTCAGTCATCTTCACTCTCAACTCAACTGCTGAAATCTATCATCAGGTTCTCTTACCTCTGAGGCCACCGTAGCAGACGTGTTGGACAAAGGATCTGGTGCCGTCATCCTCCTGGACGGTGAGTTTCTTCACCCTTCAGGGCTCAACTTTTATCCCTCTATCCATTATCTATACACCACTTAATCCTCACTAGGGTCATGGGGGGCTGGAGTCTATACAGCTGACTATCACAGGGCTACACTTAGAGACAGACAACCAAGCACACTCACATTCACACCTACACACAATTTAGAATCACCGATTAACCTCCATGCAGAAAGATCCCTGATGTCCTAACCGGGACACGAACCGGCGACCTTCTAGCTGCAAGGCAACGGTGCTAACCACCGAGCCACCTTTTATCATAACGTATTTATTCCATATTCATTTGTTTTTCATCCCCTTCTAATGCGTCTTTTCCTGAAAGTTGCCTCTCAGGCTGAATTAATATAAGTTAATTTACAGTCTGTGTCTGCAGGGACAGAAATAATGGACCGAGAACGGCTCATATTTTTGTTTGACAATCCCGTAGAGATGGATGATATTAGAACCGCTCTGATCTATAATTAATCCAACTTAAAACAAATAACACGGGACCAGAGGTTCCCCCGAGCGCTCACGGAGGGGAGTTCTATGAAATTTCTTTAGAAACCAGTCGGCTTCTGTTAAAGATGGAAGTTTTTTTTCTGGGGAAGGCGGCCCGTGACGCCATCGCCCCGTGGAAGCAGCTTTGTTTGTCTTTATGCCTGGTTATGGTTTGAATTGGCCTAATGAAATTAATCAGCCGGCACATTGACCGTAAAGGCGACTTGATTCCTTCTGACAGTCACTAATTGTTTCTTCACATTCAGTTTCCATGGCGCCGTTTCCTCCTGTTCTGATTGGTGTCTGGCATGTGTTCCGCTCACAGTTTATAGCTAATGTGGCAACATGAGGCGCTGTGGGCAGCTGAGCATCATTCGACTTGATTGCCAGTCAGAGGAACTGTTTTGTCCCTCCGTCGTCACCATGCACTACACGCTGGTGTCTTTATCTGAAGCATGACCACAAATGATCAGCTCAGAGCTTCTTAATGATTAAAAATAGTAAAAAGGATTCTATTGTATTTAAAAATAAATATCATTTATTGCAGCATTAACAGGGTCGTTGCAGATTTACATGATTTTGAAGGTGCTAAACTTTAACATTTCCTTTCTTTCTACTCAGTGACACATAGGAGACCAGTGTCATAGTGTTTACTGCACTGGATTTATTACAACATGAATCCTTGTAAATTTGTTTCCATTCAGTGTTTTTTTATGAAAACCCAGTTTGTGAATCCAAATACTTTGTTAAATAAGATTTTCCATTAACATTATATGATCACTTTATGGATTTATTTGGATTAAACTCCCCCAATTTATTATGTTCAAAACCTTTCTTTACTTTAGGATACAAGAACATTAATATGCAGCTTACACATTAATACTATATTAACTCTAATGAATTAAATGCCACCATCAACTGTATAACAAAGTTTACTGCACGCATCATATCTGAGGCTAAAGTTGTAGTTAAAGTGCATTAAAACCAGCAGCAATAAGAAAATAAACATTTACTTACTGAATGGATCCTTTCAGTGTCTGTGGTTCGATCAGCCAAAGGTCCGAATTACAGTGAACTGAAAACTGGTTAAAACCAGCCAGCGGAAAATAAAACTTTGTCGTTATTTACCCGAACGTAGCAGCACATTTTTCTCAAACTGTTAATTATATCAGAAGTAAATCCAAACGAGGAGGAGACCTGAGTTTACGGTGAAGGAGAGTCAAAGCTGCCTCTTATGACCTGTCAATCAAATAGCCACGCCCCCTCAATATGGTAGAAACTTTGACAATTTATATAAAATTCAATATTTATTTATTTACAGATTGGCCACCTGATCTCTGGGTTTGAACATGGAAACCAACGAGAAAAAAAAATCCTGAGCTGTAGGAAAGTTTTGTGATCTGATCTCCCTGTTTACACTTGGAGTCTATGGGAGTCAGGGCTTTTTGGAGCCAGCACCTAGTGGATGTAGTGGTACTGCAGGTTTTTACACTTTGGGTTAATTTTTCAGGGCCTGTTGCTACGTCCATCTTTCTTATACAGTCGCTGTAAGCCACTGATGGACCCTGGCTAATCTCATGCATGGTGTACAATTTTTTTGCTTACAATACACACATTATTGAACAATTAAATAACATAAGAAAAATTTCATATGCAAGACTTTAGCTTCACTTGCTGTTATCACCCCGTAGCATTGCTTTTATTCGCCCATCACACCACTGATGCCACCTTTCCTTCACAGTGAACACCTACAGCGGCCGTGAGCTGGTGTGCTACAACCAGTTCTCGGTGTTCGTGGTCGGCGCTGGAGGCTTCGGAGGAAAGAGGACGTCTGAGAAAGCCAAAGTACGTTTCCCCACATTTGAGTTGCTTCGTCAAAAAATACACAGAAACGAGACATCATTACTAAATGTTGCCTCATGTTTGAGTTATTTTTATTATTTGTGTTTTAATTCCTCCAGGCTCCTGTGCCGCCTCCTAAACGGGCACCAGATGCTGTGGTGATTGATTCGACCACAAGAGACCAAGTGAGTGCGTCTGTGTGGGTTTTGGTGCAGAATAAATCAGCTGCATTCATAATATGTGGGTGAAAATAGGACATATTGTTTTGCGCTTCTGAAATAATCATAAAGTTCTCGACAAAATGTTCTGCAGAAGTGTTGAACAAGGTTTTCATACTGTCTTATATATTTATATATATATATATTAATAAGAATGCTGACTGTATGATGCAGCAAAAAATAAAGATGGGGGAATAAAAAAAAACTAAATCCCTTAAGCAATTTAAATGACTGCAACTATACTACTTCAAAGACATTCTTATTTTAGGTGTCTCTTCTATTGCCTTCATGATAATTTAATTTCATCCCACATCTGTGTATGAAAAGTTCAGGGGTTTATGAATTAGATATAGATCTAAACAATGTCTGTTTCCCCTGCGGTTACAGGCTGCCTTGTACCGTTTGAGCGGAGACTGGAACCCTCTTCATATAGACCCCAGCTTTGCTGCCATGGGAGGTGAGAGCATCTTAATGGGTGTCACACGGGTCATGATTTGTTTTGTTCTGGGTTAAATCTTTCCCTGCAAATACTTGAACTTGCTTGTACTTACAAATGCTCTTTGGTCAGGTTTCAAGGCTCCCATCCTTCACGGCTTGTGCTCCTTCGGCTTCGCTGCGAGACACGTCCTCAAGCAGTTCGCCAACAACGACCCGTCCAGATTCAAGGCGATCAAGGTGAGGGCTGCCTGAGGTTTGAACCCTGCTGTTCATTTTCTTTTGTCCTCATGCAAGGACCTCGTGTAAAGACATCCATCCATTATCTATACACCGCTTAATCCTCACTGGGGGGGCTGGAGTCTATCCCAGCTGACTCAGGGTGAAGGCAGGAGACACCTGGTGCACAACTACACAAATGTTGACGAACAAAAAGGAGTCTGCATCCGGTGCGAAACTGGACTGAGAGCTGCTGTTCCTTCTTGATGGTAGCTCTCTGATCCTTGACATGAAGGCTGGCTCGTCCTGGCTGCTGACTGACTCACAATGTGTTGTTTTTCTTGCTGCTCCTGTTTGAACTCTGTGGAGAAATTGCAAATGCACACCTACCAGTAGCCAGAAAAGAGTTTTTATTTATTTTTTATATAGATAACGGTGATCTTTGACCTCTAAATTCTAATCAGTTCATCCTCAAGTCCGAGTGGACATTTGTACAATTTTGGATGAAATGGCCTCCAGGTGTTGAAGAGAAACTGTTCACTAGACATTATCTAGTGTCATGGCTTCATCATGTTTTATCAAAACCAAAAACCACTTCTACTGGCCAGATGTGAACAAATACAAGAAATGGGTCCCTTTCATTGAACTTATGTACTTCAAATTCTTCAGGGCATTGAATTATTAGTCTGGACAGAAATGGATTTAAACTATAACTTGACTGTTAGACCAAAGCGTACAACCATAAGGTGGTACAGTTGTGACTCGATAATCCGACACTAAATGTAAAACCTTCTTCTATGTCGGATAGCAAGGCTGTCGGATTGTCAAGACGGAGGTCCAGATACGAGGAGGGCTTGATGCTGGAAGGCTCATTAGTTAATATTTATTGTTCATAGTTGTGATAATAACTAGTGTATTGTTAGAACATTGAGGTGAATCCAGGTGGTTCCATGATATAAAATGACTTAATTACAGATCCACTGTTGCCACCTCCTCATTTTAATCCTTCTGTGTTGCTCAGGTTCGCTTTGCGAAGCCGGTGATGCCGGGTCAGTCGCTGCAGACCGAGATGTGGAAGGAAGGCAACAGAATTCACATCCAGTGCAAAGTGAGTGTTCAGCAGCAGCAGCGCGGTTTAGCGGATAAATGAGTTTGATCTGTCTCAGTGCTGCTTTCTGCTCCCTGATCAGCAACTCGTCTCTCTCGTACAGGTGAAGGAGACGGATGCCGTCGTGTTAGCCGGGGCCTACGTGGATTTACACGCATCAGAAGCTTCTGCAGAAAAACCCACACAGGTACATGAGTCTGAGAAAAGAAAGCAAAGTCTTTCATGGAGCTCCGAATCTGTTTTCCTTTTAGTTCTGTTGACAGTTTAGATGAAATTAATTTGTGCTTTTGACAGATCATGATAATAGACATCCATGTTCTTTCTACCTTCGTGCAGGCGGGAGGCCTTCAGAGCGAGCTGGTGTTCGCAGAGATCGGGCGCCGCGTTAAAGACATGGGCTCTGAGTTGGTGAAGAAGGTGAACGCTGTGTTCAGCTGGGAGATCACCAAGGATGGCAAGAACGCTGCGCAGTGGAGTAAGTGGACTGAATGCTGTGCAGACACATTACGCACACCGCTATCGCATCAGTCAGATCAGTGTTTAGCAAAGGAAGTCGTTTTTGCAGCAAAAAACATCAATTGTCTTCATTATTTGACTGTTTTTGCAGAAACCAGAGCACAGATAAGATAAAGCTCTCAGCTGTGAGGAGCTAAGAAGTTTATAATATTAGAATCAAGAGCATTTATGATACATGAAATGTGATTCTTTTTGGATGGAACTTTTGAAAATGGAGGGTCCCATAAAGGTTTTTTTTTTTTTTTTTAAAGATCTGATGTGTCCCTGCAAAGTAACTAATACTGCTGAACTGTGAGGAAGCTTCTCACTCTGAATGGCTCACCTCAGAAGCAGTGAGAGGCAGGATTACACGGAGCTGGGTGACCAGCTGGAACACAGCAGCTCAGTAAAACTCTCACCGGCTTGTAAAGCTGGGAGGTTATCGAGCTTTAGGGAGGCTCGAGGCAAGGCAGAAGTAAACGTCTTCATATCGTCACGGCTCCATGTTTACGTCCACCACAAACTGACAGCGATGACTGTGACACCACGTGACCTCTACATCCCGTCACTCCTCTGCTCTCATTCTGCATATTTTCAGTTTTTCCTCTCTATCTAATAAAACAATGTCATAAAAGAAAAGCAGAAGATGGCCCAGATTTGCTAAGATGGATATAACTTCCCCTGTGATTAATCTGCTAAACACATCTGACAGAAGAGGCTGCTGCTCGCGTTGCCCGGATGATTCACGCGCCGCTCGTTTAGATTTCAGGGTCAGGACTGATGCTATGATGGATTTACAGCTCCACAAACCTCCTGTCAGCATTAAATAATTGCACAGCAGCTCGCTGGAGTGTCTCCTGCTAAATTTGTTGTTTTTCTTCGCTCGTGTTTTAACCCCGTATCAGTCTCAAACATCACAGGATAAACTCTCACACCGGCCAATGAAACAAAAGCTGAAATATCAGTTAATTCGATCCAAATTAAACATTTTTGCTCACAAGCAAACCGGAGTGAGATCTGTTAATGACTCTAAACATGAGTGAGCTGTGGAAGCAGATGAAGCCGTCAAGTTTTTACGCTCGTGTTCCATCATCCAACTCTGCCTTTTTTTCCCTCCCGCCAGCCATTGATCTGAAGAACGGCAGCGGCTCCGTGCACAGAGGACCTTTCAGCGGGAAGGCGGACGTGACCTTCACGGTGTCGGACGAAGACTTCATGGAGGTGGTGCAGGGGAAAGTCAACCCTCAGAAGGTGAGCGCTCGGACCTGCTCGGCCTCAATCGCTCTGTTACGTCACTAATTAGTCGGCGTGCAGCTTTGTCTCACGTAGAAGAGAATTGTGTGGTCAAATAAGCTAAAAGGCCTCATGACGATGTGGCTTTGATGGAAACGTAGCCTCATATTTTAAGTCCCGGCTCCTTTACGACGCTAAAATGGCTCCTTGTACATTTTAATTAAAGAGAAAGTGCCTTTGAAGGGCCCTTCAATCGGCAGCGACTTCATCCTTGATCTCGTCTTGTCTGATTAAAAATGGAAGCGATGATCTATCAGACCTATTTCAGAAAGCACTCAGCGCGGTTAATCAATCGACACTACTTGTTATGTCTGCAGCATCTCATCTGTCACTGGGAGTGGCCGTCACTGTACTGAATTTATTTGCTTCCTGGAGCGCTTGATATTGATCTGAGGCCTGCGTGAGTGTGTGCGCTCTTTAAAAGGAGTGTCAGCAGCGGGCCGCGATGCCGAAGATCCCTCAGGCGGGGTCTCTTCCACTCTCTGCCACGATGAAAGGAGAAGCTGGAGAAAGATTAGTTGATGGAGTTGAGAAGGACACCGCTAACTGTCGTGCGGGGTCGTGATAACCCCGCCTGCTGATTGATTTTAGCAGAGGAGAGCGGCGCACATCGTCAGGAGTTCAGACTGCTTCACCCAGCGAAGGGACTCCTCCGCTGCATACTCAGCCTTGGACCTCATGAATATGGATGGTCTTCCATTGTTCTGCTGCCAGAGCACCAGTGGTCACATATTCCCTTTTTGCCCGAGACCTGGCTTTGCTGCTTTTTCAATCGTGTGAGATGTTTGCTGCAGGCGTCTTGGCCCTCTTTTACTCCCTGTGTACTGAAAAACAACCAACAACCTGCCTGCTGTTGAACAGACTTTGTGCTTTACTTTAAAAAACAAAACCCTCATGTGTGTCCCTGTTGTCTTGCTAGGCATTCTTCGCTGGCAAGCTGAAGGTTAGAGGAAACATCATGCTGAGTCAGAAGCTGGAGGTCATCCTGAAGGACCACGCCAAGCTGTGAGCTCCTCTGCCAACCAATCGGACGACTTCAGGACCTAACCAGACTATCGGCTCTCTCTCCGTCTGCCTACTTTTCTTGTGTATGCTGACACACTTCTCCTCTCAAGGGAAACGCATAAACAATTCGCAGTAAGATTAGCCGTGCTTCAGCAGCAGTTCAGCAACATGGTCAGGTCTTCTTTCAGCAGCTTAAATCAGAATCCAGCCACTGGCTTGTCTTCCCCCTCGAGCAGGTCCAGGTGTACCAGAGACCACTGTAGGCGCAGAGTCCAAAAGAGATTCCTTTGCTTGTGTAGATTTAGAAACTTCTTGTTGCGTCTTGAGCTGTTTCCATCAGGAAAAATGATACAACGATCCAAATAAGAAATTAATTGTTATAGATGAACCTGAATGAAGTGCTAACAGTTAAAATCTAATCCGGTCTTTAATGGTAGCTGGAGTCAGTGGTTTGTTTCACTAATTCAAAGTCAGAAACAGTTTTATGTGTCTGATGCTGTAATCAACGAGTTGCAGAGTAAAAACGGCTTTCTATGGATTTTTACTAATGTAATTGTCATGAAGTTGCTCTTCTATGAAATAAAAATCAAAGCAGTTTTCTGTTTCATGCTTTAATACCAGCTGTTATAAATGCTTTGGGGAATGTGTTAAATAACGATGTGTGATGGGAAACTTGTCACATTAAGTATGAAGCTGAACAAATATCAGCTCTTTGGGGAAGTTTTCAGCCCACAGCTTTAAATTTCTGACTTG